TCACTCCAAACAACAGGGAGCAGCTGCCCTCTGCTTTCTGTGATGAGTACCTGAGCACTCTTGCTCCTGCTGGGGTACTGGTTTCAGAGTGTGGGCTCTGCAGACTTGAGGCAGTCTGCAAAGCTGTAACTCAGCTGATGGCACTTTGGGCTGTGTCTGTCCTGGATGTGTACATGTCTCCAGCAGCAGCCTGGCTCAGGCTCCTCAGAGCTCCCCTGAGGGAAGCTCCCCTGTAAGCACAGAGCCTAGAGTGTGCTGCCCTGCATTGGTAAAAGCATTTGGGAGCCTCCCAGTTGCTCCTTTTTCAGTGCTGGGTTGTAATTGCACTGTGGGTCGATCCATAGCAATGATACTGGAAAAGGACCTTTTCCAGCCCATGGCTGTGCTGTTAAAATACTAATTGAGAAAATGTGAGGCAGTGTTAGATGTGGTGGAAGATGGAAAGAACCATGTTGATTTGCAGCCTGGAAGAGGGAAACATGCTGGCTGTGACTGATGAATTGCTGTGGTGTAGCTGTTACATTAACCTTGCAGATCCATAGAGATTCCACATGAGCACAGAGGATTTCACTATAACTCTCCTGACCCTAGACCCAAAGGTAGTTAAACAAGCTTTTATTACTGCCAGCTGAATAGAAACAGGGAGGTGTTGAATGAAAAGCTGTTAGGCTGTGGCCTTTCCCATGTCACATGGCAGTGAGACAGAGCTGCAGTGAGCACTGACGGGCCCTCTCTCCTGTCCCCGTGCCAGGCAGCAACGCCGCCTTCCTGCGCGTGGTGCGCTGCCGCTCGCTGGCTGAGGAGCACAGCCCCAACTCCTGCAGCAGGGATGCAATCAGTAAGTACTGCTGCTGGCCACTCACCTCACTGCATTTCCAGCTTGGAATGGTTTGGTGAGGAAAACAAAATGTAAGCTACATGTTCTGGTGCGTTATGGAGTTTTATCATTTGGAATGTCACAAAGTCCTCGGTGAATTAAAATCAATTCTTAGTGTAAGGAATATGGCTCTCAACTACAGTTGTGGAGATTTAGGTCTAGAATGTTGAATTCAATTTGATTTTGAAATTTCAAAAGTGACCTTACAGATGGATGCATATTTCAACTTTTGTTTCTTGTGGATTTTACTTGTAGTACTCTGTAAATAAAACACTGGGTTTTTTCAAACTTCTCTTTGAAGTACGTCAGTTATTTCTGACAGAGCTGGAAAGGTGCTTTAACCTGACCAAATAAAATAAATATCTTGACCCCTTTATCTCTTTAGGATGTGAACTAACAAACTAGTTACTTGATATTGCTTTTTGCTTTTTATATTGCCTTTTTTTTTTTTTTGAGCCGGATATAAGTAGCAGTTAGTATTTACAAACTGTGCTTGTGGTAAGGGATTTAAGACCTGTTTTATAATTACATTCATTACAGATCATACTTAAAGCATGTCTTTCAAATCCTAAAATTATAACTAAGGAATACCCATTTAAATTAAAGGACCTGCCAGAATTGAAACGTGAGTTTCTTCACAAAATAGTTTATATTAAATACATAAAATATGGTTTTGTCATAAACTTTGGAGGCAAAGTTGTGTATCTGACAGCTGTTTGATTAAGGTTCTGTCATAGGTTGCATCCATTAAGGTTTCTTTCTGCTGCAGATTTTACTATTTGTGTTCAGGCAATTCAAAACATTGCTTTTTCCATTCTGTCTGCACCAGCTAACCAGTTCTCCTGCTGTTTTCAGTTTCCCATATGGATAACCCCGACAGTGAAATAGTGCTGTACTTGATGCTGAGGGCTGTCAATAGGTTTTACAAGCAGCATGGCAGATACCCAGGTATGTTAATACCAGTTACTTCACATCATCAAAAAGATATCAAGTCCAATAGTTACTGTAGTTCAAGTTATAAACTGCAAAAACATTAGTTGTGGTTTTGTTTCCATAGTAATACAGCTTTAGGAATATGAAGATTAGAGTTTTTTCTCTTCAGGAACTTAAGGAATTTATCTGAATTGGTATCATTAATGGGTTGTTTGGATTATGAATCAGTTCAGCTATGCAGTAATTTGTCTATCATAAGAAGCATCAACAGAGTAATCAATTATTATTTGTCTAGTATTAATAACACAGTAATTTGGTTAGAAACTGTAGGAAAACAAACTATTTAGGCTGCCATTTAAACCTGACTGTGATGTTACAGTTGTGTGATGAAACAGGTGATTTATTTTCCAGGTGTCTACAACTACCAGGTGGAAGATGATATTGGAAAGCTAAAATCATGCCTTACTGGTTTCCTCCAAGAACATGGGCTGTCTGTAGTGGTGAAAGATGACTATGTGCAGGAGTTGTAAGTGTTGTTTTTGAGGTGTGGCTCTGTTGGTAGAACTGCTGGGCAGTTGGTGACTGTTCCTTTCCTGTGCAGTTGTCGCTACGGAGCTGCCGAGCCTCACGCTGTTGCTGCCTTCATGGGAGGTAAGGGTGACACAAACAGCAGCTGCTCAGCCACAACTGCTGCCTTCATTACTCTGGACTCTCAGAGCAAGGGCTGCAGTCACACATAGCATAGGGCACAATCCTCCCCTTCATTCTCCAGATGTGACCTCTTACAGTACATATAGAGTAAGTGAATGCACCGAGGGTTATAATCAGTAAAATAAATAAACTTCAAAAACAATCAGCTCTTCAAGCTTAAAAATGTGTTAAGAAATTAAATGCTGGAAAGAGGCTTAATTTTTTTAAAGAAAAGTGATAATTATAGTAATTTTAAAATTAGTGCAGTATATATCTTCTTTTAACATAGTACATATATGTTTAAGATCTATGAAATATCAGTAGCCTTGGATTCTTACTTTCATTTGACCTGCAGATATATTTTCATGGATGCCCCAAATTGATACATCAGTTCACTTACCTTCTTTATTTGGCTTCATGCAGTGCTGAAGATTTTGTATTATATTCTGCATATGTAGGAGTTTTTTTCTGATAAAGCAAAATTTATTATACATAAAGGTAATTTCTGAGGAAGTTACAGAATGTTTCTTACTACAGGAAAACTCAGAGGGAACACACTGAAGTGACCCTTCAGTTTATTTTGCAGTTAAATTTTACATGATTTTTTTTTTTTAATTCAGCTTTTCTGATGAGAGAGGCCACAACTTGCATGGGTCTGTCTGCTCACCCATTTTTATTCTGTGTGTCTGTCCATGGAGAGAAAGTGTATGCAAAGCTAACTGCTGAAGTAGTAGCTTTCTGATCTTCTTTTATAGTGGAAAGTACTGAAGGGCATTTTTGCCTCCTAGGACATTTATCAGGCACTTCTGAAATAATTCCAGTGTAGGGACTTCTAGATAAGTAACATTATTTTACTATTGTTTAAATATGACCTGCTAACTGCCTTCTGGTTTTTCTTCTCTTTTGCAGGAGCTGCTGCACAGGAAGTTATCAAAGTCATTACAGGGCAGTTTGTAATTTTTAATAACACCTTTATTTACAGTGGAATGTCACAGACTTCAGCAACTTTCCAGCTGTAGGATAAGCTCTTGACTTCAATGCCTCCAGACGCTGCTGCTGTATTTACAGTTTTTACAGTATTTACAGTTCTGTAAATACAGTAATGTTCTACCACTGACTGGACTGTTCTGTTCTGTATTACCTGCCAATTAAAGTTTCTTTATTTGTAATTATCTTGTTGTTGTTGTTGTTGTTTCCTGAGGACAAATAAAATCATACTATATCTTGACAGTTCTTTAAAATCTAAATTTTTTTACTCACCTCTGAAAGAAAAAGGCAGTAGCTGTTTTTGGCAGGGTAAGTGACATTTGCAAATTGGCTCACCTCATTGGCAGCAGAACTGCATTTTTTCTTATAAAAGCTGCTCATCAGCTTGAGTGGGGAGAAGGCACAAAAGGATGAGAGAGGCTGGTGGAGCTCTGATGGTGTGAGGATCCAATGGTGCAAAGAGCTGGAAGGTGAAATCCCTTTTCTTGAGTTCAGGGTCATTAGGCAAAGGGAGGGTGTGCCTGAGAGCTCAGTTCTGTCAGCTGTATTCACCTAGTAAAAGGTTTTTTTCCTGCACCTGTGTGTGTGGCCAATGCCAAGGGATGGCAGCTCTTTCTGTTGTGGGGGCATTGCAGCCTCCAACTGCAGAGTATGCAAAGTGAGCTGCATTGAAATGTGTTCTCCAGGGCTCCGTTTGGGGCTGGTCCTGGTTAACATCTTTATTGATGATCTGGAGGTGGGCATTGAGAGCACCCTCAGTAAATTTGCAGATGCCCAGTTGGGTGGGAGTGTGGATCTGCTGGAGGATGGGAAGGCTCTGCAGTGAGACTTGGACAGACTCGATCAATGGGCCAAGGACAAGGGCGTGAGGTTCCACAAGGCCAAGTGGCCCATCCTGCAGGTCACCAGCTGCCTCAGGGTGAGCCAAAGTGTGCCCAAGGGGGCAAGAGGCCAATGGCCCCTGGCCTGGACCAGCAGCAGTGTGGGCAGCAGGAGCAGGCAGCGCCTGCCCCTCTGAGCTGGGCACTGCTGAGGCCACACCTCGAGTGCTGTGTCCAGCTCTGGGCCCCTCGGGAAAAAGGACATTGAGGGGCTGAGTGTGTCCAGAGAAGGGCAGCAAGGCTCATGAAGGCTCTAGAAAAGATGCCCCATGAGGAGCAGCTGAGGGAGCTGCGTTTGTTCAGGCTGGAGAAGAGGCTCAGGAGGGACCTCACCACTCTCTCCAACTCCCTGACAGGAGCGTGCACTGAGGGGGGGCTGCTCGCTGCTGCTGGGCCTGCACTGAGAACCAGAGGAAGTGGCCTCACCTTGAGAGGAAATTCAGGTTAGATTTTAGAAAAAACTTTTCACTGTTCAGGTGTTCAGGCCTGGGAAGAGGTTGGCTAGAGAGGTGGTGGAGTTGCCATCCCTGGAGGTGTTAAAGAGGCCTCTGGATCTGACACTGGCAAATGGTTCAGTGCTTTAGGGTTTGCAGTGTCAGTGCTGGGCTGACGTTGAACTGATGGTCTTAAAGATGTCGTTCACCCCTGCCGGTTCTACAACTCCAAGCGCCTCCCGCCTGGCTGAGGGGAAGGCTCAGGGCTGTCCCGCCGCTCGGGCGGCGCTGCGGCTGCGGCGTCTCCTGAGGGGCCGGGCCGGGCTCTGCCCTGAGCTCCGCGAGATCGCAGCCCTCAGGCCGGCGGGGCCTCCGCTGTCCTTCAGCCGGGCAATCCCAGCCCTCAGGCCGGCGGAGCCTCCGCTGTCCTTCAGCCGGGCAATCCCAGCCCTCAGGCCGGCGGGGCCTCCGCTGTCCTTCAGCCGGGCAATCCCAGCCCTCAGGCCGGCGGGGCCTCCGCTGTCCTTCAGCCGGGCAATCCCAGCCCTCAGCTCCGCGAGGTCCCTCCCATGAAACAGAGACCTTGTCCTCTAATCTCTAGAGCGTGGAGGGTGTGCAGTTGCTAATTAGGAAAAAACAAACAGGTATCCACATTTCTGTGCTGCAAGCACAACTGAGAGATTTGTGTAAGATTGAGGGTGTGTGTGGGAGAATGGATTGTAAGAGAATCGAGATAGTGCTGCAGGCAGTCTCGCCCCTGATAAGGTGCAGCTGTGTAAAACAGGTGATCATCCTTAAGGGAAAAAGGAGCAGGAATGCTGAAGTGCACAATGCCAAGGGGGTAAAAGGGCACACAGGTGTTATGCATAAGGCAAAAGGGTATAAAAGGCTGTACTGGGGTATAATAAAGTGCTGATGCTTGAAGGCATTCATGGTGTTAGTCTTGTGTTCTCTGTCAGGGCTGTCAGGGGTATGGGGCTTTGTAGTGTCCATTAATATAGAATTTTTTTTTTTTTTTAAAGCAGCAACTCGTACTGGTGAAGAACCCAGAGCTAATTCAATGAAAAAGCTTTTTTTTTTTTTCACAGCATCATTGTGAAAACAGTTTACAGGAACTATAATTGCAAGTTCACCTCTTGTATCTGCAGCGTATATTTCAAGTGTGTTAACATTTATGTATAAATTTAAGTTTTATAAAAAATGTTATTTTGCATTAAATTATTTGGGCTGTCCCTCAGCATACTAAATATAATAAATATTTTAAAATGTTACTTGATAAAATTTTAGTTTTATATTTTATAAAGCTGAACAGTTGTCTCTGAAATTATATGATAAGTGTTAATTAAATGTGAACAATGCAGAAGAATTGGATGTGCAAGTCAGAAAAAGATGTCTGCGAGACTACTGGAAGAATGTGAAAGAAATTTTACACAGAATAAACTCAAAAACAGCATGATGAGGTTGGCCTACTTACCAAAATAGTATAAAACTAATCACATCTTTCCAGAGTTTAAGGAGAAAGCAAAAGTAAATCCCTAAGGTAATTTCCATGTGAGCAGAAAACCCAGGAACAAATGTTGGATTTGTGTGAAAGTACAACCTGCAGCTTTTATCAGTATTGTAGATCAGACTGAGTTACAGGTGTGCAGAGAATGGAGGCGTCTGTATTGTATGAAGTATTCTTGTTTATTGTAACCCCAGGTTTTCTATGAGATAGAAAAAGAAGTTGAATTAATTTTTAATTGCTGGATATTCAAACCTCTAATTTTAATATTTGCATGCATGAAATGCTCAGGGTTGTACAGCTGTGGGAACTGATTTCCTGATCTGCCCCAAAGGGTGGATATTATATGTTCACTGGAATAAACATACAGCAGAACACTCGGCATGACAAAGCCAGGGGCAGAGCTCAAACTCCCTCCTCTTGCAAAAAGCAAGAGCAGCACACCTTTCAGCTAAATACAGGATAACCCTTTTGGGCATGCTTTACATGACTTCCAGCTCTTCTTTCGCATTCTAGAATGATTCTTCTGAAAAAAAAAAAAAATCAGTTTTTTTTTTTTTGGAGAGGACCTGTCTGCACTAAATGGTAAGGGATGAATTAGCATCTTCAGCTTTTAAAGGGAAACAACTGTTCTTGTGTATTTTCCAAGAAATCCATCTTTATTAAGATTTTGATACTGTGTACTTCCAGCCACTTAACACTGATTTAAATTGCTGGGTTTTGAAACAGTGAATAATTCCCACTGATCTCAATGGAAACTTGAAGTGATCAGTGATGACTGCTCCCAAAGATCCTATTCCCCATTGTATCCCAGAATGCCCAGAAATGAACTATACCAAACTGACTCATTCAGTGTGGCTCTAGAATACTAGTGCTATACACAGAGAAATATATGGACCTGACATAGGGGCCTTTATCACCATATTTTAAGCATTCATAAATGCTTACAGAAAGACTCTTCAGAAAGCACCAAAGTAAAGTCAGTAGTTCAAGCAACAATCTCCTTTGAAAATCAGTGCAATTTCCTTTAACTGAGGGTTTTAGTGTGCTTTTCTTGCCTGTGTAATTTGCTGCAAATTGCCATTTAAGTATTTTCCCTTTCCCTTCCTTCAGAATGCTTTAGTAGCAGAGGTAGGTAATGACTGAAGGGAGGTGAGGAATGACACAGATTTTTTTTTCTCCTTTCTTTTCAAAATAATACATATTACATATAATAATTAAGTATGTTACTGTGCTGCCAGGTTGGTATGCTCTAATTTTATCCACTGACAGTCTGGATTTCCTTTCAAACTTGAAGGATAATTTATTTTTTTATCTCTTTCAGGGCATTATTGAGACTGGTAGAACAATGAAAGCTCTGGTTTCAAAAATAAAATACAAGAAACCAAGGATGGTAAAAGGTATATTGCAAGGTGTAAGGATAAAGCCCCTAACTAACATATTCAAATCCTTTGGGTGAATAGTCAGTGTATGCTGACAGATGCTTGTTTTGCTTGAAGTTTGGAGTGGGAGGAAGCAAATGCAGGAAGTAATCCTTATCCAGCTGCTGAAAAATTGGGAATTTTACCTGTGCACTACCATCTTCACTGCTCAAATTAATAAAAAAAGTTTTATGGCTCTTTCCATGTAGTCCGTAAAGTCTGATGCATTCCCTGTTTCTTACTTTATGTTTGAAGGAAAATCATCTCTTTCCATAGGTTTTCTAACACCACCTCAGTTGCCTCAATACTAGAATGACAACACTCTGAAGATTTCTTAATACCCTTAACCGCAGAGGTTTCCAGAATCTAAGAGTCTGCCAGCACTGGGAAGATGACTTCAAGTAGCATTCTACATCTGCTTTTAGTAGATCTCTAAAGAAATTTTGTGGAATATCCCTGTGTCTGTCAGGTAACCACCATGCTTTATAAATACCATTGCTTTAAGCATCAGTTATTCAGACAGTCCTTCTAGTGACTGTCCAGGAGGTTCTCAGTTTCTTCTGAAGTGCTCAGGCAAAGCAAGAATAGATGTAATTTTGCAGGAGAAATTGTCCTTTTCTCCCTCCCTCCCCACTAAAATCATTACCAGCCACTTGGATATGCTTCCCCCTCTGTGCTATTCTATGTCCATTGCTGCATGGAAGGGCAAAGATCTGAGACACAGCATTGAAGGGAATTGAATACAAAGTTGAGCCACTCAGACAGAAAGATCAGAGCCTTTGCTTCTCCCTCCACTACAAGGCTGAACACTACTTCTTTCTGTGCAATAATCTCACTGTTTTAACTTAAGGGCATGATTTTAGACGCTTCTGGGGAGGTGTGGCAGAATGGAAGTCAGAGCTTAGAGCAAGGCATTTTAAAAACCAATCTTCTCTGCTCTGCCTTACAACCTGCTCATTCAAAGGACATGTCAGAGTCCAGGTAACAGACCAGACTGTAAGTATCATGTTTTTCTCAGTGTTTTTTCCCTATATTTTCCAAAACAGTCCTGCAATTTCACTTCAGGCAGCACATTTGACAACTGGCACATAAGTTTCATGAAGGCCAAGAGAAATGGGGAGAAACTACATGAAAAGCTAATGACCAGCTATGCTATCCTGAGACCTCATGACCACCTTGTTCTTTTCCCCTGGTTGGCCTGAGTGCAGGTTTAGCTATTTGATATACAAATTTAACTATTTAGATAGCAAAAACAGATCAAACCTTAACTGTGTTTTGCTTTGCTTTGATCCTAGAGGGCATTTGTTTTGACTCCACATATTAAACTTGCCTTGTTTCCAAACTGAAAAGTCCTACTGAATCACAGTCCTACTGAATCACACTAATGACTACTTCAGAGATTTAAATTGAGCTGGTAATGCAATATAGGTGCATAAAAAATGTTTGTGCTTCACCTTTTCATAATTCTACTCCACAAGTCTCATGGCTCAGCCATGCTGCAGGACATTCTGACCCCCCAGGATTGGTGAGCAGTGTACAATCTGCGGCCCTATCTGAAAATAAAATAACTTAAAATAATTAAAGTAATTTGACTTGAATTGCATATTTGTCTGTCTTAGCTCAATCCTATGTTGCTCCTCTGTCACCAAGTCTTTAAAGTGGCCGTGCAGGCACTCTGTGTGAAGGTTTTCCACACACTTATGGATAACATGGCTGTAAGATCTCTCTTCCCTTATTCCATTACAGCTTCCTTAGGCTGCAAAGAGTAGTAGACTTAGAAACATCAGAAATTAATAGGGTTGGTCTTTTTCCCCTCCTTTGTTTTCAAAAGTATTTACTTAATTCTGGTTAACTCGGAAAGTTTTTCATTTCTAAGTCTTTCTACTAAGGCAAACCAGTTTTGCTGAAGACACAATCAATCTGTGCTATTGCTCAGTAGCATGAAGGTATATGCAGTAATTTAACAAACCTAAGTTCTTTAGAATATATAAACCTATATATTACAGATAAACTTGGAAAGAATATTAAAATCTCGAGTTTACTGCAAGGAAACTTGCAACAATTATGGTTCTAGTGGTTTTTTATTACAATGCTGGGAATAAAACTGAAAATCAGTCTTGCATTTCATTTGAAGATAGAGGTTGATAAATATTGTAGGTTGTTTTTTTTTTTTTTCCTTTTAGCACATCTGTGTTCTGAAAGAGAATGCCAAAGAGAAATACAGGATGTGATAATGTCAGTCTTCTGGAGCACTAATTCCTGGCTACTGATTAGGTGATAAACCATTACACCAGGAAATGACTTCTGCTCCGTGTGTGTCCCTAAGAACCAGAAGCTACACGTTACTGCCCAGCACCTGCAGCTGGCTGATTCCCACTTGTTCTGTGCGCTGGACACCAACTGTTGAGACCCTGGGTTTTTCCCGTTGTGAAGGAGCAGCCCGGAGCTGGGGGCAAGGGTCTGGCGACATCGAGCGCTGCCACCGCGCACGCCACCCTCCGGGCCCCGGAGCGGGTTCCAGGGCTGGAACGAGCGGGGTCCGAGGCCCGCCCGGCGTCCCCGGCCCCGGCCCGGCCACGACAATCGGGGGCCGCAGTTGCCGGGGAACC